AGAAAAGTCCAGAGGGTCGAGGACACCAGGCTGGCCAACACCAAGCACTGGCTCAGGGAACAGGGGCGAGGTTCGATCTCATCGCCGCCGACGTCTTCAATCTCACCTAGATACATTCATTGCACAGCAAGCACGCCACGGCGCACGCTCTGCCGAGTCACTCGCACCGCGTCAGCCAGCGGAACTGCATCCAGATCAAGGCAGCGAGCACGTGCATCGCGCATCAAGTCATCCAAGCGTCTACTCTAGGCACAACTAGCCCCTCTCCACCAGACGAAGCGCCACTTTCCAGCACTGCCGATGCGAAGTCGCCCCCACAAGCCCAGCGCAATGCAGCTTCAGCAAGTTGGGGTTGAACTCGGGCTTCTAGAAATTCCTGCTCTGCGCAGAGGTGCGAGCCCACGCGCTTCGGACAGCGCGGCAATCCAACACTGTGCAGAGCATCAGCTAGGCAACGCGCATGCTCCTGACATCGCTTTATGCACCCACAGACTCGAGGGCCAGAAGGTAGCGCGCGGCCATCTGGCGGGCCTTCGGCGACGAAGCAAAAGCACAAGGCAAACGCTTGAGGGGCATCTGATCCAAGAAGACCACGCACTGCCACCAATACCTGCGCAATGAACACTGCGTCCTCGGGGAGGGAAGATGACTCGCAGCGATGTCCTCGTGAAGAGCGACGTCCGCTGCGTTGCACACGATCGAACAAGTCAATCCTGCGCGGAGCTCGGGCGAAAGAAAAATGCGCCGCCAAAACTGCACGCCGTCAAACCAACGACGCCGCGGCCGGCCTCTTGCACGACGCGGCCGGCCGTTGTTCAGCGCCGCACATGCAATAGGTGACCAGTCGCACACTGGTCCAGGCAGCGACAGAGCGTGGTGGGACATCAGCATCTTGCGCTTTGATACGACAGAAGACCAATCTGGAATATTGCACAAGCGCCTGGCAGCTTCAAGCCTCTGCTTCATTCTGCGGCCAGCATCCTCCCACGAAGCGGTGTCCTCGAAAAACCAACCGACGATTATCCGGAGCATCTTCCTTTGCGCGATGCCTAGAAAATCCGACTGCTTCTGGCCCAACGCACAAGTCCCCAGCCCGCATGCCATGGTAGGCGCGACGGTCGCGTCGAGAAGTTTCAGCCGCAGCTTGACGCTGACGTGCTTGTTCATCAGCGAAGTCTGCAGAGAACGGAATTTCAACCATGCACAGCAAACGCGATGGTCGACAGCAGCTTGTCCGCGGTGTCGGAGGTTGCCCGGCCACGCCCCCACGAGGTATTCGCGCGTGCTGCTCGCAGCCACAAGCTCCACAAACCCATCGGAAGTTTCTATCAGAACAATGTCTTTCTCCGTGACCGTCGTGACACATTTTCGTTTTCTTCACGTTGAGCTCAAATCCATAATGGCGAAGCGTCTGCGCGAGCACGTCTAGCATGTCCACGGAAGCAAATCGTCTGCAAAACGGATGTTCGACAGACGCCCCGCGGTTCCGTCCGAACAAACAGCCAGGCCATGGGCGCTCAGCTTCGCCTTCCACTAGCAGATAGCAGCTTCCAGGACACTGTTGAACACGAGCGGTGGTAGCACGCCCCCTCGCTTGACGCCCCGAATGATAGGAAAGCGGGAATCATCACCGAAAACACCGGTTCGAGACTTGTACAACGTTCTCAATATCTGGCAGCATCCAGAGGGGAGTCCCTGCGCTTGGAGAGCGCGGAACAGCGCCGGCTGCTCAACCCTGTCAAAAGCTTTGCGCAAATCTACACTGACCAACCACAGGTCTCCGTTGAACTCGAGGCTCTTGCTCACGAGGCTTTCGGCAACAATCAGAGCGTAAGCAGTCGACCGGTCTCTTTGAAAGCCAAATTGCTCCTCAGACTGTTGCGAACCTAGGGCGCCGCGTATCCTGTGGAAGAGCACTCGAGCAAGAATCTTGTAAGAGACGCTGATGATCGCGATCGGCCTCCAATTGTTCGGATCTGCAGTGTGCCCGCCCTTGTGCAACAGTCTGAAGAAAGACTCTCGCCAGTCGGCTGGCACGCAACCACTCCGCAAAATCGCGTTGAACATGTCAGACAGGTAATCAGTACAACAGATCGTCCCCGCCAAAGAGGAACATCTCCAGCAACGCGCCCTTTGTGTCAGCAGCCTTACGTCATCACATCGCTTCGACTGCCTTCACCACCTCCTCGACAGTAATGGCTGGTATCTGGTCGTTCTCGTCTGGCTCGCTCGCGTCAAGCGGCAAACTGGACGAGTATATCTCTGACAATAGGTCTGCACATTTGCAGAAATCTGGGCCCTGTTGCGACGATCTTGCGATTGGGAATCTATCCAGCGAGTCTATGCAGCGACGTCCGTCGTGTCGACATCCGCCTACCATTCTCTAGGGGGGCGCAGAGCTGTGAAATCCCTTCTGGACTGGTGCTGCCTAAACAAATGTGTGTGTGAGGGTCCCATGTGCATTTTTCTGCGGGGCGTGAAATCCCCTGGATCCGGAATCGGTGGCCCGTGGCGCATCGTCTCCCTTGTGGTCTCCCGCATGGACTCCCGTCTGGTCTCCCCTTGTGGTGGTCTCCCGTCTGGTCTCCCATACGAGCTCCCACATGGTCTCACCTGTGATATGCCTCATGGTCTTCATTTGGTCGCCCTGATGGGCTTCCCTGTGGTTTTCCGAATGGTCTTCCAAATGTTCTACCTGTCACTGCTTTCTAAAACGCTACCCACTCTACCCTTCACTCTCTACAGTGGTCTCTATAGTGTTCTACATAGCGCTCTGAAAAACTGTTCGGGGAAATATGCCACCAGGGATGTGATGCTACTATTTTGCGTGTTACGCCTTGCCTCTTGTGTCTACTGTGCTGAATACTTTCTACTGTCTACAGCCCGACCTATGCCAGCAGAACATCCTTCAAGAACATGAGACGCTCCGCCGTCCAAAAAACAAGTGGCACGCGTGCCCTGGCTCTTGCACAAAGGAGCTGGGGCTCAGGCTCAGGGGGGGGGCCGACGAACCACGACGAGCCACGAACCACAACGAAAATAAGGATGTCCGCGGCCCAGGGGGGCTGCCCTGGGAAGCCAGGAGGGAGGGGGGGGTCCCAAGGGGGCCCAGGGGCTCAGGCTCAGGGGGGGGGCCGAGGGGGACGAACCACAACGAACCATGAACCACAACGAAAATAAAGATGTCCGAGCTCTAGAGCACAGCTGTGCAAGAGAATGAAGAACATCCAAGGGTACCCTGCCCAGGGTGCACATTAACATCAAACGAACACGAAGAACATTAGAGTAGCCTCCCCGAACCGACCTCGATCTTATACCTCGGTCCAGCTGTACTGGGGAAGGTGGGCACCGCGAAAACAACAAACAACCGAGAAGACCCAAGAGGGGCCGAGGCCTCCGAGAGACAAAGAAGTGGATCGACAAGGGGGTGGGGCAGCGGCACAGGGGGAGCCCTTCAGATGATCAAGCAACGGCAGTGCCTTCACCATGCGATGGCATCTTGAGAAGAGCTGAGACTCTGCGCTGGGAAATGTTGACACGAAGAAACTCCTCCGAACCATGAACAGCACGTGTGCCGGCCCCGTGCACAACAGGTGCAAGAGAGAAGCCCAGCGCCTATGTTAACGGCTGGCTGCACTGGGGGTGTCTCCAGTGTAAAGCTGTGTCAGCACCGACTCACCTGGCTGCTTGTTGATGAAAGTATCGCGAAGCATCAGGTAGACGAACCCCTCACGGTCAAGACCTCTACGCCCAGCTCTTCCAGCCATCTGACGGAACTCGCCTGGATCCAAGACCCGCCTGCCAGATCCATCAAATCTCACACATTACATCCATAAAGATGACAGTCTTAGCTGGCATTTTGAGGCCGATGAAGGTCTCAATCGCAACGACAAGTATCAGCAATCCAAATTTAAACAAGATTTCGGCCAATTCCCAAAGAAGCGGCAGCATGCCACTGTGGTGAACCGCAAATCCTCGGAGAAGCAAAGCAGTGCAATGATTGACCTGCTTCAACCTCAGGTCCTCGGCATCCATGTTGGCAAAAACAGTGGCTGATCTTTTCTAGTAGTATGTTCTTCTCTCCAGAGTTTGTGTTATCTATCTTCTTTGCACCTGGCAATAGCACCGCAACCTTTTTGCACATGCTCCGATTCAAGCAGAAGCCAATTGCAGGAAGCTGCTTCCTCTGCGCAATGAGGCATAGAAGGCTTTTGAGGTCCTCCGCTGCCACGTCGTTTATGTCGGAAACAGCAGGCGGACGAGCCTGCCCTTTTGGCGCGCCTTGGTCTAGAAACCACTCAGTTATGCGCATCTGCATCTGCCTGCGGTGTTGTGTGTTGATGACTGTACCTGGATCTCGTTATCGACCATGCGGGTGCTCACATAAAGCCCTCCCTCCAGCTGGCACACATTCGATCCGCCGCGACCGATGAGCAGCCCACACAGGCGCGGCGGGCACCGCCACACGGCCTGCCCCTTCAACGAGCTGAGAGTGCTGCCAGATGGCTGCCCGAAGATTCCCGACCAGAAAATTGCCTTTGGTCGAGGAACCAAACATTCCATGGGCATAATCTGTGGGAGGTCCGCGCGGATTTCCTGGGTCGGCGCTGGAGCCCCCTGGCAGCGACTCTGGCGCCGCCCCCTGCGCGCTCCGCGCACAAGGAGGGATCCGAGACCTTACATCATGAGGGCGTCTTCTGACCCTGGAACCCCGGTGGGTCAAGCTCTACGCGCACACTTGCCACCCAGTAGGTCATATCCATTTCGTGTGGTACTGTGGCGAAGAGAGGCACCGGTCGAATGCGTCGGGGTGGCAAGATGCGAACTGCATGTAAAGTCTTGTTCGCACTCGATGGGCCTGACCTTCGCATCTGGAGCATCGATGGGCGAACCAAGACGAGCAAACTTGAGCCAAACGGCTACGGAAGTCCTTCTCTGTCTCGCTGTCATCCTCTCTTTCTCTCTCTCTCTCTCTCTCTCTTCTCTTGTGCAGTGCATGACTACCCTCGCTCGACAAACAACAATCCTGGAACGTGTTTCTCTTCTCGTGTATTCTCTGTTGGCTCGGTCTGGGTGGGCAGACTCGCTATCGGAGTATAGGTGCATGCGCAGGAGCAACAGCACTCCGGAAGGAAGCCAGAAGAAGGCGGAGGCGGAGTGGTGCGGTGGTGGTGGGCACCAGCAGTCTGCCAGCGGGAGTCACGGGCGCGCGCCTTGACCACCTTGTATGGAAGGTGTTTCATGTCCTTTTTCGTCGCCTCGTCGTCGAAGGCCCGGCCGATGAGCCGCTTGGCGGCGAACACCGTGTTCTCCTGCCCGGTCGCGAGGCGGAGGAGGGGGGGAGGACGGAGGAAGGAGAATCAGAAAAGAGGCAGGGCACAGGGAAGCGGAAAAAGCAGAGGATTGGGGGAATGAAGGGGAAGAGAGGAAGGATGGGGAGGGGAGGTAGGAACGGGAGGAGGGGGTGTAATGATGAAGACTAACTGTAGTATTAAGATTATGTTACGAAAACAACTAGTAATAAGAAACATAATGATGAAAACAACAAGTAAGTAGGATTATGATGATAAACATAATGATAAGAATAATAGTACTCATAATAATAATAATAGTACTAATAAAAATAATCATAATACTAATAATAATAATAATAATAATAATAATAATAATAACAATGATGATGCTAACATTCGTCAATTGTAATACAAAGAACAAGAATGCGAACACCTCGAAAGACCGACTCTTCGAATGCTTGTGTTTCGCCCTGGTGGGAGGAAACATGCACAGAGGCTCACACGCTCAAAGAAGCGCAACTGTAGAGGGGGTGACACGAGCTAGGCCCACCGACGACAGTGCACGCAAACCCGACATAACCCGAAGTGTGAGGGGTCGCGAAAGCCGTGCACTCACACCTGTAGCACGAGTGCACACACGAGCTGCTGCAATTGAAGTTCCAGGCCCGTGCCGCCGTCAGCCGTGGGAGGAGGGGGAGAAGGGGGAGGGACAGGAGGAGGGAGGGGATGGAGGAGTGGAAGGAGGGGAGATGGATGGGAGAGCTTGAGGGCCCACGTCCCGTGCCTCGTTCCTGGCTAATTGAAGGCCAGAAAGTGGCCTCGCGTTGGGCCAGGGCCTGGTAGTAAGATAATCCTCCTCCTCCTCCTCCTCCTCCCCCTCCTCCCCCTCCTCCTCCTCCTCCTTCTCCTCCTCCTCCTCCTCCTTCTCCTCCTCCTACGTTCCTCCTCCATTCCTCCTCCTTATAAATAATTCCTCCATGTCGCACCACTGGGCGTGTCCGTAGGTCGGGCCAGGCGACTCGCCTGAGTCTCGCCAACTATTATCCTGCAATGTGCAGGAACCTCACGCGTGGAGCCCGGGTGGCTTTCAAGCGGTGGCTCTCGCGCGAGCGCCGCGAGCACTCGTCGTACAAATATGTCAAGAGCTTCACGCGCGGAGCCAGAATGGTTTTCTAAATGTGGCCCTCGCCTTCGCACCGCGCACACTCGTCTTGAAACATGCGAAAGCTTCAAGGATGGAGGCTGGCTCCTTTTCAAAATGTGGCTCTCGCCTTGACGCCGCACGCTAGTCCTAAACACTTGCAACAGTTTCAAGGATGAAGGCCAGCCCATGTTCAAAATGTGGCTATCGCCTGAGCACCGCGCACCCGAGCCTAAAACACTTGCGGCAAGTTCTAAGATGGCGGTCGGCTCAATTTTCAAATTATGACTCTCGCCTCAGCGCCGCGCGCATCCATACGACCCGACCCTCCCTATCCGATGCAAAAAAGCATGCACCCTGCCGAAACCTCACCATCCGAATACGAAAAGAACTCTCGCATCCATACGAGCCAACCCTCAGCATCCCATACTAAAAAACAAGTCACCGGTGCACATAGAACGACCAAACCATCACCAGTCTATGCAAAAACATGTTCGGAGCGCATCCGTCCGACCCAGCACCCACCGTCCGATGCAAACAAACAGCGTACATCCATACGGCCCAACCCTCATCATCCTGTGTGAAAATCCACCGACCCTGTCTAGTCGGCGCGTGCGAAGGAGAGTTCGGGGTCCGTCGCCCCCAGGGGGTCTTCTGAAACGATGTGTCATTTGACTTCCTCCCTTTCGCAGAGAATCTCCCCCGCCGAGACCCTCTGTTGCGCGCCACGGTCGTCAACTCGGAGTGAATTGAGCCAGGTCGCGAAGGCAGACGTAATGAGATCTAAAAGAACCCCCCCCTTCCCTTTGATTCCTTCCCCGACCGGGGGGGGGCGGGGGTCCCGAGGGGTCCTGGGGGAGTCGAGGGGGGGAGGGGACCCGGGGAGGTCCCCGGTCAGAATGCACTCCCCCCCTTCCTTTTGGGAGCGCCTTCGGCATTTCGAATCGTGCAAAGTCCACGACGAGCCCAAAAGATCCTAGAGTCGCCCAAAGTTTGCTACAAGCTGCCCGAAATGTCCTCCAGACGGCCCAAGACGCCGCCAATACGCCCCAAGAGGCCCTTCAAGGCACTCCCACGAGAGCCCCGGCAGCCAAGATGGGCTGGATTCCCTCTGGTTTGGGATAACATTTAGCGTTTCTCCTTTTCTGGCTTCCGGAATGCGGACGGCGCCACTGGGACTCCAGGTGGAGCTCCCTATGGGGCCACGAAACGTGTGAGGGATACCAAAATGGGGCGGCGGCGCCATGCGGGCGGCGCCACAGCGACCTCAGGCAGAGCTCTCAACGGGGCCACGAAACGTGTGAGGGGTGTGCTAAAATGGGGCGGCGCCGCCGCCATACGGGCGGCGCCACTGGGACCTCAGGCGGAGCTCCCCACGGGGCCACGAAACGTGTGAGGGGTGTGCCAAAATGGGACTAGCTCCCTATGGGTCCACGAGCCATGCGGACGGCGGCACTGGGACCTGAGGTGGGGACCCCTGCGGGGCCACGAAACGTGTGAGGGATGTGCCAAAATGCAGTCACGGAACGTGTGGGGGGTGTGCCACAATGAGGCGGCGGCGACATGCGGGCGGCGCCACTGGAGCCTTTGGTGGAGCTCCCTATGGGGCCACGAAACGTGTGAGGGGTGTGCCAGAATGGGGCGGCGCCGCCATGCGGGGCGGCGTCACTGGGACCTTTGGTGGAGCTCCCTGCGGGGCCACGAAACGTGTGAGAGGTGTGCCAGAATGGGGCGGCGCCGCCATGCGGGCGGCGCCACTCCCTACGGGGCCACGAAAGGTGTGAGGGGTGTGCTACTGGGGCGGCGCCGCCACGCGGGCGGCGTCACTGGGACCTCAGGCGGAGCTCCTTACAGGGCCACGAAACGCGTGAGGGGTGTACCAAAATGCGGCGGCGGCGCCATGCGGGCTGCGCCACTGGGACTTCAGGTGGAACTCCCTATGGGGACACGCAACGTGTGAGGTGTGTGGCGAAGACGATGACGATGACGATGACGATGATGACGACGATGATGGTGATGAACATGATGATGATGACGACGACGACGATGATGATGATCATGATGATGATGTTGATGGTGGTGGTGGTGATGACGTTGGCAGTAAATATAATGATGATGATGATGATGATGATGATGATGATGATGATGATGATGATGATGATGATGATGGAGGCGGCGGTGGTGGTGATGTCGATGACGATGGCGATGGCGAAGGCGATGACGATGACGATGATGATGGTGGTGATGATGATGAAAGTGATGATGACGAGTATGATGATGACGATTATGATGATAGCGTGATGATCACGACGATCATGATGGGAGGAGGGAGGAGGAGGAGGAGGAGGAGGAGGAGGAGGAGAAGCAGAAGGAGGAGGACGATAAGGAGGAGGAGGAAAAGGAGGAGGAGGAGGAGGAGGAGGGGAAGAGGAGAGCAGAGGAGGAAGGAGACGCGGGGCGCTGTCACTTCAAAACGAGGACCCAACACCACCGGATGGTTGGGAAAAACATGCAAACCAAAACACATGTTCTGCTTTTCAAATATAAATATGCATATAAATATATATATATATATACACACACACACATAGAGAGACAGAGAGATTTAGAGAGGGGAACAACAAATACTCTCTTGCCGATTCCACGCCCCCGTCGCTGCACTGGGTTCGGTTCGCCAAAAATCTCGAGGGGAGTTCAGCCGTGGCGGCGAAAGGCCTTGCAGAGAACCAACTAGGGCGAAACAAACGAAGCCCATACCCTCGAAGCCAGCCATCCTATGTCTTGACGTTTCCCCATACGCGGTCACCGTCCAGTTTCCCAGGGTTCACTTTTCATCCTGACTCTATAATTAACAGCCCCAAAGCCCTGCGAGGGCCCCCAGGGGCCGAAAGCATCGAACTGTCTGTGCCTTGATTTGTCTGCAGACTCCGGGTGTCTGCAAAGACCTTCCCAACAGCCTGGGGGGCATGGCGGCGCCTGGAACTGTCCTGGTAAGCGTGGGGTTCTCGGAGTCTGGGTGCCACGAGACCTGCGCGTCCCCGACGAGAAAAGCAAACACGCGGCGAACCTAACGCGCCGCACGCACGCCTGGCCTGCCAGTAGTCTCAGACAGCCGTTCTCTGCGGCAGTCGCTGCATTCACTGGCTGGCGGCCGTAGAACACCATTAAAAGGACCTGGACCAGGAGCAGGTGACCCTCTGGAGTGGAAGAAGACCCAACAGAAAAACGGACAGCACGTCGATTCAGAATTCCAGCACCAGCGTGAGCTGCAGGGGCATGGCGTTCGGCCCGCTCACGACGAACTCGAGAAATAGCACAAGGTAGATCAGGAGTTCGATCGACAGGGCAGCCAGAAGCCACAAGCGCCGCAGGCAGACCTTCGTGAACATCCTCACGTCCAAGATCGCGAGGAGGACACCGACCATCGAATCGCCCAGCGTCAGCGTCTGTTGGATCGGTGCCTACGGCAAAGCGCAGAACCGCGTGGAGAGGCCGCGCCTAGCAGCGTAGGGCGGCGTGGTTCGCATCTGCGCCCGTGCAGCTTGGACTCGCCGCCCGGCAGCAGAGCGACACGGGCGCCCAGATCGTCAAGGGGGCTCCATGGCGCAGGAGGGAATGGGGCGGCGCGGCGGGCGCCAATGGCGCTGGCTCGCGAGGCCCAAATGGGGCCCGTCTGAGCTGGCGCTACTGGGAGGCGGACGAAAAGGAGGAGGAGGAGGAGGAGGAGGAGGAGGAGGAGGAGGAGGAAAAGGAGGAGGAGGAGGAGGAGGAGGAAGAGGAGGAAGAGGAAACCAGTTCGGAAACATGTCTAGCCCCACTCCGCCTCCACGTCGGAGGCGCTGCACTAATCATTCGTGGCCTCCTCTCCGCCTTCCACACAGAGGAGCAGAGAGGAGGGGGAGAAGGAGGGGGAGGGACTAGGAGGAGGAGGTGGAGGAGGAGGAGGAGGAGGAGGAGGCCACGGGACCTGGCGACCCCCCCGGGGGAAGGAAACCGCACTTTGGCGACGTCCCCCAGGGTGCGGGGGCTTGTCGCCCCGAGGGCCTGGCGGTCCCCGACTCCGCCAGGGGGCCGAAGCCCGACCCCACTCTTGGGGGCCCCAGGAGGAGGAGGAGGTGGAGGAGGAGGAGGAGGAGGAGGACGACGACGACGAGGAGGCGGAGGCGGAAGCGGAGGACAAGCTAGGAGGAGGAAGGAGGGAGTAGTAGAACAAGGAGGGAAAGGGGGAGGAGGGAGGAGCAGAACGAGAAAGAGAGGAGGAGGAGGAGAAGCAGGACATCTACACTACTGCCAACTTGGGGCCTCGCCTACTTGCTCCGGAAAAATAACGGACGGATCCGCCCTGTGGCGTGCGGGAGTCGTGCGCCGTCTCGCCGCCAAGGCGGCGTGCGCCGAATTCCAGGATGAGATCAAGGCTGCAGGTGGTTCGCGACCATATGCCGTGAGCAGACAGGCGGGCTGCGATCTCGTCCACAAAAGCGTGTCTGCGCTGGCAGAGGCCCTGACCTCGGCCGCTGTTTTCGCTTTTGACGCCTCCAACGCGTTCAACACGATCCCCCGCCAGAACGTCCTCGACGCCGTGGCCAGACGTGTCCCTGTCCTCCTCGGTGTCGCGAACGCTCGGCTCACTCGTGAAACCACGCACACCTACTGGGCCCGCGACGGCGCCGCGCTGCTGGTGCGGGCGAAGGCGGGGGTTGACCAAGGCTGCCCGCTTTCCCCGGGCTTCTTCGGGATCGGCATCGTTGACGCCTTGTCCCGGGCTGACGCGCGGCTGACGCACCTCTACCCCTCGGCCCGCATCTTCTCCTGTTTGGATGACTTGATAGCGGTGGTGCCAGCCGGCCTCGCGGCCCAGGCGTGCGAGATCGTGCGGGAGGAGCTGACGACGGCCGGACTTACGTTGAAACCCGACAAGACCCAGGTGTACACGCCAGACCACGGAACCGCGTTGCCGCAACCACTGGAGGCTCGCCGGGCCCAAGCCCTCACAATGCTGGTACGACCGCGACGACGACGACGGCGACTTTCGACTCCCTTTCCACGGAACGACCGACGGACGCGATGTTCTCGACAAGACAGGACGCTTCCTGCGACACTGGCGGCAGCTGCGGGACAACGGGCTGACGGCTGAGGGGGCCCCCACACACTCTTGCGTACTTATGCGCTGGGCTGCGCTACCCACTTGCTGCGAGCTAGCTACGAGACCACCTGGGCGGCGCAGCTCGACGACCTCCTTTGGGGTGCCTACGAAGAGTTCGCTGACTTCGCCTTCGACGCTTCGCAGCGCGAACAAGCCAAGCTGGGCTTGTCTGACGGGGGATGTGCCTTCCCGTCTGCTCGAGACGCGCCGCGCGCGCCTACCTGGGCAGCTGGCCCCTCGTCCTCCCCAGCGTCGCCACTTGCCTCGGGGTCACTTCCATGGAGGGCTTCCGATGCAGGTGTCCTCGTATTGCCCAGGATGCGAGGATCGCCGAAGCCGAAGTGGACGCCCAGGGAGCGAAGGAGGGGCCGATTTAGTGGGGGAGCTAAATGGCGGAACCACGAGCCAAGCCCCAGGGTCACTGGGGCAAGCGAATTTCAACTAACAAGGGGGGGCGGCTTCTAATTACAGATTATGGGCGAAGACGACTGGCATTGCCCTGCGCGAGAGCGGCGGCACCTTGGCGGGGAGTTGGCTTCTCCCGCGCCAGGAGGGGGACCCGCTCATCCTGGACGATCACTTTCACGCGGGGCTGCGCAAGCGCCTCCGGGCTGACGTCTGCACCCCAGGGGCGCCCTGCCAGCACCGCATGCGAGACGGCTCAGTCTGTGATGCTGCTCTGGACGCCAAGGGCTGGCACCCCCTGACGTGCGGCTGCGGAGGCTCTCGCGACCACCGACACTACAGCCTCCGCGATTGGCATGCGCGCTTCCACCAGGCGCAGCCCGGCCACATGGCGGTCACCGAAAAACGAATTGCCGCTTGGGACCGCGTGGACCCCGGCACCGGGGAGCTGGAAGAGGCCCGCCTGGACCTGGCGACAGGCGACGCGGCCACCGGATAGTTTATTTACGTTGATTGGTCTGTTGCCTGCGCACACTCAGACAGTCTCGAGCGCAGGAGGACACGATCCAGAAACGACGGGCTGGCCGCGTCGTACGCTGTGGGCTATCCCCCCTCGGAAGGCAAGCTGGTCCTGGCCGTCTTGGAGTCGGGACGGCGGCCGGCGGATGAGCTCGTGTCGTTCGTCCGTTCCTACGGCGCAGACTTGCCCGAGGCGGACCGGTCGGCTGCCATCGCCACCGCGTGGCGCCGCATCCAACGTACGCTGGTCGTGGGCAACGCGCAGATGATCCTTAGGCGCCAACGGCGCAGGCCCGCGCGTCGACGGGTGTGTGTCCGCAGGGCGCCGCTGGCTCGTCTCCATCGGCGGTTCCCGCCCAGGCTGTAGTTCTGGGCTTGGTGGGAGGCGATCGCGACTGGCGGCGCTAGCGTCGCCCTCGGCGGCGACCACCAGGGCCATGACCACCACAAGCGCAACCGCAGCGGCGGGAACACCACCCTGGCACGGCCACCACGTCGTCCACCAAGACCATCCCGACAACCACCACGACCACCACAACCACAGCGACCACCACAACCACCACCGCGGCGACAGCCACCACGACACCCACCGCCTGCGGCCGGCACCATCACGACGTCCACGGCGATCCGCCCCCCGCCCCCCGCCCCCCGCCTCTTCCCTTCCCCCCGCCTCTTCCCTCCCCCTCGCCTGGCCGCCCTTGCATGCTGCTCCATGTATGTCATGATATAATTTGCGTGCATTTATCCTAGCATATGTTTGTTGATTATGCTGCGTTAGGGACCCAGGACCATACCCCCAACGCCCGGGGGTCCGAGTTGGTGACGGGGGTGGAGGCCCACTCGGGTGCCCCCGACCTTTTTGAGAGGAGGATGAGGAGGAGGAGAAGCAGGAGGAGGAGGAGGAGGAGGAGGAGCGGAGGAGGATGAGGAGGAGGAAGAGGGAGGGAGGAGGGAGGAGGGAGGAGGGAGAGGGGAGAAGGAGGAAGGAGGAAGACTCTCGCCACGACGCTGGAGGTCTGGGAAGCCCCCGCCCGCCCCTCCGGGTTGGTGACCGCCTGCCGCTTCGCGGGGATGCCGACTAGGCGCTGCCCGTCGGAGGTGAAGCCCACCTGCGGGGGCGCCGCGCTCCGAGGGGCGCCAAGGCGCGCCGTGCAGACAGGCGCGCCAGATCAAGGGGGACGACGAGGACGACGACGGCGACGAAGACGAAGACGACGAAGACGACGACGAAGACGACGACGACGCGGACGACGCGGACGACGACGACGACGACGACGACGACGACGACGACGACGACGACGACGACGACGACGACGACTACTCCCTCAATGTTCCTCCTCACTATCCTCCTCCTCCTACTCCTCCTCCTCCTCCTCATCATCATCATCATCATCATCATCATCATCATCATCATCACCACCACCACCACCATCAGCATCAGCATCAGCACCAGCATCATCACCAGCAGCAGCAGCACCCTCATCATCATCATCCTCATCATCATCATCATCATCATCATCAGCATCAGCATCATCATAATCATCATCATCATCATCAGCAGCAGCATCATCATCATCATCATCATCATCATCATCATCATCATCATCATCATCATCATCATCATCATCATCATCCTCATCCTCATCATCATCATCGTCATCATCATCATCATCATCATCGTCATCATCATCATCGTCATCATCATCGTCATTATCAGCATCATCAGCAGCAGCATCATCAGCATCAGCGTCAGCATAAACATCATCTTCATCATCAGCAGCAGCATAGTAATCAGCATCATCCGCATCATCGTCAGCATCAGCAGCAGCATAATCATCATCAACAGCAACAGCAGCATCAGCATCAGCATCAGCATCCCCATCATCATCATCATCGTCATCATCATCATCATCAGCATCATCAACATCGTCAGGTTCATCATCAGCAGCAGCAGCATCATCACCATCGTCATTAGCTTACGATCCTCATCATCATCAGCATCACCGTCAGCATCAGCATCCCCAGCATCAGCATCATCACCATCAGCATCATCATCATCATCATCATCATCATCATCATCACCACCACCATCGTCATCAGCATCGTCATCATCAGCATCGTCAGCATCGTCATCAGCGTCAGCAGCAGCACCAGCAGCAGCAGCAGCATCACCATCATCAGTATCGCCATCATCAGAATCATCAGCATCACCAGCATCAGCATCATCACCATCATCATCAGCATCAGCATCATCGCCAGCATCATACCATCATCACCAGCATCAACATAAGCATCATCATCACCACCATCAACATCATCAGCATCATCAGCCAGAGCAGCATCAGCATCATCCTGATCCTCATAATCACCATCGCCAGCATCACAATCATCATCACCATCATCGCCATCATAATCACCACCATCGTCAGCATCACAAACATCATCCATAGCATCAGCATCAAGAACAACAACATCATCATCGTCATCGATGTCGTCAGCGTCGTCATCGTCATCGTCATCGTCATCGTCGTCGTCACCGGCATCAGCATCAGCAGCAGCATCATCATCATCAGCAGCATCATCAGGCCTAATCAGGCTTCCTCCTTCTAATCCTCTTTCTCCTCCTCCTCCTCATCACCATCATCATCATCACCGTCGTCGGAATCAGCGTCCTAATCATCACAATCAGTATCAGGAGACTTCGTATTCTTCCTCCTCCTCCTCTGTTGACGTTCAGCGGACGGTGATCCTAAGATTGTAGCGTCTATGAAAAATTGCATGACTCGAAAACATGAGGCTCTCTGAGCAGTCGATCAGCTCTAAGCGCAGGGCCATAGCTCTACGTAGCCTCCGAGACTCTGCACTTTGCGCGTGCTGGCATGAAGTGGAAACTGTGCAGAACTGGTGAAACTTCAAAGTCATGCGGGCTTGCGTGACTCGAACGGCAAGGTGAAGGGCCGATGGGAGAGTGAAGCACCTGCGGGAAAGGGACAACACCCAGATCACGCCGATCATCTGATCAACCCTGTCCCCGACTAGCACATCAGCGCTTGCTTCAGTCCGCCCCACCACGTCCGGCCAGCCTCGATTACGTTCGGCTGCTGCTGAAGCTTGCTCGGCACATCCTCTTCAACAAGGTTGTGACACAGCGAATCCTCGTACCATTGATTTTTTTCCCTAACAGAAATAATTCGCTGAGCAATTAAAGCTGTAGCTGTACTGTAGGGTGCTACAGTAAATAATTCGCTGAGCAATTAATGCTGTAGCTGTAGCTGTAGCTGTAGCTGCGACGAAGCTTTCGCGCGGCGTTTTTTTTTCTGTTTTTTACGACGCCGGGAGGTCTGGGCCAGGAAGGAAAAAAGAGTTAGAAAGGAATTTGATAAGGGATTTCAAAAGTTAGAAAAGAATTCAGTTTTTTTGCGTTAAATTTGTTTTTTTTACGACGCCAGGAGGTCTGGGCCGGGGAAGAAAAAGGAGTTAGAAAGGAATTTAATAAGGAATTTCAAGAGTTAGAAAGGAATTTCGTTGTTGGGGTCGTTTTTTGTTTTTTTAACGACGCCGAGATGTCTGGGCCAGGAAGGAGAAAAAGGAGTTAGAAAGGAAATTGATAAGGAATTTCCAGAGTTAGAAGGGAATTTCGTTTTGGGTGTTGTTTTTTAAACAAAAAAGAAACGACGCCGGGAGGTCTGGGCCAGGAAGGAAAAAGGAGTTAGAAATGAATTTAATAAGGAATTTCAAGAATTAGAAAGGAATTTCGCTTTTGGTGGTGGTTTTTTGTTTTGTTTTTTTACGACGCCGAGAGGTCTGGGCCAGGAAGGAAAAAGGAGTTAGAAAGGAATTTAATAAGGAAGTTCAAGAGTTAGAAAGGAATTTGGCTTTTTGGAAATTGTTTTTTGTTTTGTTTTTTTTACGACGCCGAGAGGTCTGGGCCAGGAAAGAAAAAGGAGTTAGAAAGGAATTTAATAAGGAATATCAAGAGTTAGAAAAGAATTTCGCTTTTTTTGATTATTTTTGTTTTGTTTTTTTTAACGACACCGAGAGGTTTGGGCCAGGCAGGAAAAAAGGAGTTAGAAAGGAATGTAATAAATGAGTTTCAAGAGTTAGAAAGAAATTCATTTTTGGTGGCTGTTTTTTGTTATGTTTTTTACGACGCCGGGAGGTCAGGGCCAGGCAGGAAAAAAGGAGTTAGAAAGGAATTTATCAAGGAATTTCAAGAGTTAGAAAGAATTTTGTTTTGTGGGTTGTTTTTTGTTTCATTTTTTACAACGCCGAGAGGTTTGGGCCGGGCAGGAAAAAAGGAGTTAGAAAGGAATTTAATAAAGGAATTTCAAGAGTTAGAAAGGAAATTCGTTTTTGGTGGTGTTTTTTTTGTTTTGTTTTTTACGACGCCGAGAGGTCTGGGCCAGGAAGGAAAAGGAATTAGAAAGGAATTTAATAAGGATTTCCAAGAGTTAGAAAGGAATTTCGTTTTTTTGGAAAATGTGGTTTTTTTTACGACGCCGAGAGGTCTGGGCCAGGAAGGAAAAATGAATTAGAAGAGAATTTAATAAGGAATTTCAAGAGTTAGAAAGGAATTTCGTTTTTTTTGTGGCTGTTTTCTGTTTTTTTACGCGCCGAGAGGTCTGGGCCAGGAAGGAAAAAAGGAGTTAGAAAGGAATTTAACAAGTAATTTCCAGAGTTAAAGAGACATTTCGTGTTTGGTGTGTGTGTGTGTGTGTGTGTGTTTTTTTTTTTTTTTTTTTTTTTTTTTTTTTTTTTTTTCTTCTCTTCTTTTTTTTTTCACGACGCCGAGAGGTCTGGGCCAGGAAGGAAAAAGGAGTTAGAAAGGAATTTAATAAGTAATTTCAAGAGTTAGGAAGGAATTTAGTTGTTGGTAGTTATATATATATATATATATATATACATATATATACATATATATATATATATATAACAAAAAAAAAAAACAAAAAAAAAAAAAAAAAAAAAAAAAAAAAAAAAAAAAAAAAAAAAAAAAAAAAAAAAAAAAAAAAAAAAAAAAAAAAAAAAAAAAAAAAACGCCGCCGAGAGGTCTGGGGCAGGAAGGAAAAAAAGGGTTTAGAAAGGAACTTAATAAGGAATTTCAAAAGTTAGAAAGGAATTTCGTTGTTTTGGGGCCTTTTTTTTTACGACGCCGACAGGTCTGGGCCAGGAAGGAAAAAGGAGTTAACAAGGAATTTAATAAGGAATTTCAAGAGTTAGAAATGAATTTCGTTTAGGTGGCTGGTCTGTTTTGTTTTTTTACGACGCCGAGAAATCTGGGCCAGGAAGGAAAAAAAGAAGTTAGAAAGGAAGTTGATAAGGAATATCAAGAGTTAGAAAGGAATTACGTTTTTCGGGGTTGTTTTTTTTGTTTTGTTTTTCTACGACGCCGAGAGGCATGGGGCAGGAAAGAAAAATGAGTTAGAAAAGAATGTAATAAGGCATTTCAAGAGTTAGAAAGGAATTTCGTTTTTTGGGGTTGCTTTTTTTTTTTTTTACAACGCCGAGAGGTTTCGGCCAGGAAGGAAAAAGGAGTTAGAAAGGAATGTAAATAAGGAATTTCAAGAGTTAGAAAGGAATTTGGTTTTTTGGGGGTCTGTGTTTTGTTTTGTTTTTTACGACGCCGAGAGGTCAGGGCCAGGTCTGGGCCCAAACCTCTCGGCGTCGAAAAAAAAACGAAACGAAAAACAACCCCAAAAAACAAAATTCCTTTCTAACTCTGGAAATTCCTTATTAAATCCCTTTCTAACTCATTTTTCCTTCCTGGCCCAGACCTCTCGGCGCCTTAAAAAAGCCAAAAAAAAAAAAACGAAATTCCTTGCTTGCTAACTCTTGAATTTCCTTATCAAATTCCTTTCTAACTCGTTTTTTCCTTCCTGGCTCAGACCTCTCGGCGTCGTTTAAAAAAAAAAATCCTTTCTAACTCTTGAATTTCCTTATCGAATTCCTTTCTAACGCCTTTTTCCCTTCCTGGCCCTGGCTTCCTCGGGCAATTCGGACTCGATTGTCTTTGAGGTTCAGAACTATCTCTGGTATTCAAATTCCTTTCTAACTCAGGAAATTCCTTATCGAATTCCTTTCTAACTTCCCAACTCAATAGAAATGCATA